ACAGAGTCACGCGGGAAGAAAACACAGTCACGCGGGAAGAAACACAGAGTCACGCGGGAAGAAACACAGAGTCACGCGGGAAGAAACACAGAGTCACGCGGGAAGAAACACAGAGTCACGCGGGAAGAAACACAGCGTCACACGGGAAGAAACACAGCGTCACACGGGAAGAAACACAGAGTCACACGGAAGAAACACGGGAAGAAACGCAGAGTCACGCGGGAAGAAACACAGAGTCACACGGGAAGAAACACGGGAAGAAACACAGAGTCACACGGGAAGAAACACAGCGTCACACGGGAAGAAACACAGCGTCACACGGGAAGAAACACAGAGTCACACGGGAAGAAACACGGGAAGAAACGCAGAGTCACACGGGAAGAAACACAGAGTCACACGGGAAGAAACACGGGAGAAGAAACACAGAGTCACACGGGAAGAGAAACACGGGAAGAAACACAGCGTCACACGGGAAGAAACACAGAGTCACACGGGAAGAAAACACGGGAAGAAACACAGAGTCACACGGGAAGAAACACGGGAAGAAACACAGCGTCACACGGGAAGAAACACAGCGTCACACGGGAAGAAACACAGAGTCACACGGGAAGAAACACGGGAAGAAACGCAGAGTCACACGGGAAGAAACACGGGAAGAAACACAGCGTCACACGGGAAGAAACACAGAGTCACACGGGAAGAAACACGGGAAGAAACACAGCGTCACGCGGGAAGAAACACAGAGTCACGCGGGAAGAAACACAGAGTCACGCGGGAAGAAACACAGAGTCACGCGGGAAGAAACACAGAGTCACGCGGGAAGAAACACAGAGTCACACGGGAAGAAACACAGAGTCACACGGGAAGAAACACAGCGTCGTTAACCAATCACAGCCTCACAGACTCATTAACCAATCATCTCAGAGGCTTGTTAACCAATAAGCTCACAGACTCGTTAACCAATCATCTCACAGACTCGTTAACCAGTCAGCTCACAGACTCGTTAACCAATCACAACCTCACAGACTCGTTAACCAATCATCTCACAGACTCGATAACCAGTCATCTCACAGACTCGTTAACCAATCACAACCTCACAGACTCGTTCACCAATCATCTCACAGCCTTGTTAACCAATCACAGCCTCACAGACTCGTTCCCCAATCATCTCACAGCCTTGTTAACCAATCACAGCCTCACAGACTCGTTCACCAATCATCTCACAGCCTTGTTAACCAATCACAGCATCACAGACTCGTTCACCAATCATCTCACAGCCTTGTTAACCAATCACAGCCTCACAGACTCGTTCACCAATCATCTCACAGCCTTGTTAACCAATCACAGCCTCACAGTAACAGACAGCTCTTTATTTATTTGTTCCACATCCTTTAGTCGGACACTAATAAAACCACATGTAGTTTTTGTTTACCACGAGAGGACCTGGTTGTATCCGTACTGGAAGTCTCTCTGCTGGTCTTTACGGACCGGGTACACCAGCTGGTTCTCATGGAAGTACAGAACCTTCTTCAGCCGGGCCAGGTCCGGTCTGAGAGCCACCAGCTCACACAGGTTCAGCACCGAGCTGCAGAACAGGACCCTGAGGGTACAGAGACACACAGGTTCAGCACCGAGCTGCAGAACAGGACCCTGAGGGTACAGAGACACACAGGTTCAGCACCGAGCTGCAGAACAGGACCCTGAGGGTACAGAGACACACAGGTTCAGCACCGAGCTGCAGAACAGGACCCTGAGGGTACAGAGACACACAGGTTCAGCACCGAGTTGCAGAACAGGACCCTGAGGGGACAGAGACACACAGGTTCAGCACCGAGCTGCAGAACAGGACCCTGAGGGGACAGAGACACACAGGTTCAGCACCGAGCTGCAGAACAGGACCCTGAGGGTACAGAGACACACAGGTTCAGCACCGAGCTGCAGAACAGGACCCTGAGGGGACAGAGACACACAGGTTCAGCACCGAGCAGCAGAACAGGACCCTGAGGGTACAGAGACACACCGGTCCAGCACCGAGCTGCAGAACAGGACCCTGAGGGTACAGAGACACACAGGTTCAGCACCGAGCTGCAGAACAGGACCCTGAGGGTACAGAGACACACAGGTTCAGCACCGAGCTGCAGAACAGGACCCTGAGGGGACAGAGACACACAGGTTCAGCACCGAGCTGCAGAACAGGACCCTGAGGGGACAGAGACACACAGGTTCAGCACCGAGCTGCAGAACATGACCCTGAGGGGACAGAGACACACAGGTTCAGCACCGAGCTGCAGAACATGACCCTGAGGGGACAGAGACTCACAGGTTCAGCACACTGTAATAACACACTGTAATAAACACACTGTAATATATACACTGTAATAACACACTGTAATAAACAAACTGTAATAACACACTGTTATAACACACTGTAATAACACACTGTTCTAACACACTGTAATAACACACTAACACACTGTTATAACACACTGTAATAACACACTGTAATAACACACTAACACACTGTTATAACACACTGTTATAACACACTGTTATAACACACTGTAATAACACACTGTAATAACACACTAACACACTGTTATAACACACTGTTATAACACTGTTATAACACACTGTAATAACACACTAACACACTGTAATAACACACTGTAATAACACACTGTAATAACACACTAACACACTGTTATAACACACTGTTATAACACAGTTATAACACACTGTTATAACACACTGTTATAACACACTGTTATAACACACTGTTATAACACACTAACACACTGTAATAACACACTGTAATAACACACTGTAATAACACACTGTAATAACACACTAACACACTGTTATAACACACTGTAATAACACAGTTATAACACACTGTTATAACACACTGTTATAACACACTGTTATAACACACTGTAATAACACACTGTAATAACACACTGTTATAACACACTGTAATAACACACTAACACACTGTTATAACACACTGTTCTAACACACTGTTCTAACACACTGTAATAACACACTAACACACTGTTATAACACACTGTAATAACACACTGTAATAACACACTAACACACTGTTATAACACACTGTTATAACACACTGTTATAACACACTGTTATAACACACTGTTATGACACTGTTATAACACACTGTAATAACACACTAACACACTGTAATAACACACTGTAATAACACACTGTAATAACACACTAACACACTGTAATAACACACTGTAATAACACACTAACACACTGTAATAACACACTGTAATAACACACTGTAATAACACACTAACACACTGTAATAACACACTGTAATAACACACTGTAATAAACACACTGTAAGAGTGACACTAACAAGAGGCCAGTGAGAAACGGTTCAAACATAAAGGTCAGGTCTGACTCAACGAACACATCTTATAGTTATCCTCCAGATCAAACCAGTTCAGCTGCTCCCACCTAGGATGCACAGTGTGATGTCACAGTGTCACAGTCTCACCTGTAGGACCCACAGCTGGGGATGCACAGTGTGATGTCACAGTGTCACAGTCTCACCTGTAGGACCCACAGCTGGGCATGCTCTGGCTCAGTGTGATGCACAGTGTGATGTCACAGAGTCACAGTCTCACCTGTAGGACCCAGAGGTGGGGATGCTCTGGCTGAGGCTCAGCGCTGCAGTCCTCGCCCTCCAGTGCCACTTCTTAGCGGGCAGGGAGCATAGGCAGCAGCTGGAGAGGTTCTCCTGCAGGAGGTCCATCAGCTGTTTGTGGGAACCGCCATAAAAAGCCTCCACCAGCAGAACCCTGGGAGCCTGCGGAGAACCATCAAACCATCAGAAACCCTTCATACAGAAAGACTTAAAGGTCTCCTATTATACTCCTTTTTCACACACAGTATAGCTCTTAGGTATAAAAAAGATGTTTAAAAAGAATATAAAGAGAGTAGATCTCATCAGGAGAATTTTCCCAGCAGAAACTCAGCTAAACGCTGCCGTGATGAAACTCATTATCATGTTCCAAACCACATGAAGGATTCTCTCTGAAACAGTATGGAGCTCAAACTCTTTCTCTCTCTCAGGTTTACCACAAGGTGACTTCCTTTTGATTTCCTGCTTCTTTACACATGCTCTCTCCAGTATAGGTTAGCTCTGAGTGTTAGCATGCTAATGTAAACACAGACCATATTACTTCCAGAACACGTCTCGTTGTTTCTGACAGCAACGTTTCTGATTGGCCCGTGGGTTTAAAGCCCACCCACATTTTAGTAATGCCGTCATGACGCAGCAAATCTGGATCAGCTCCGTTGTTCCCCCGTTTTTAGAGATGTGGGTACGGAGGATAAGAGAGAGGGTCCTGACACTTTGAGAGTCTCCTGACACACCGGTAGGGTTGGGAACCGAAACTCGGTTCCAGATGAGAACCGATAAGAAAATGCCGGGTACCGGGTACCCATACAAAATACACAATTTCGGTTCTGCTTAACGGTTCCTAAACGCGGTAGACCCTGTATTCCACCGGGTCCCCGGTGGAATACAGGGTCTGGGCGGACTGGCCATCTGTGTGTTTTGGAGAATCACAGAACGGCCGGCCGTCAGCGACCCGAGCCGGCCGCCAGCGGGCCGTCAGCGGGCCGTTGACGGTAGTTGCCCCGCAGCGAGGCTCCCCCCGCCCTCCCGTAGACAGTTCGCGAGCTCAGTCACTTCATAACACCAAAGATGGATGGCGGTAAACGCTCTAAAGTGAGGCTCCACTACACTAAAAAAGAAAAAGACAAGGCACAGAGTAATGCCTGTTAATAGCTTGCCACAGGCATAGCTCAGTTACAATAAAGCACAGCTATTGTGCAATACATTTGTATTGCATTTATATTTTTTATTTGTAAAAGAATAAAGATATTTTTGTTATCTAAACGTTTGACCTCTTTCTTTTACAATTTTGGAATCGAAACGGGGAATCGATAAGAACCGGAATCGATAAGAACCGGAATCGATAAGAACCGGAATCGATAAGAACCGGAATCGGAATCGATACATTTCAAACGATACCCATCCCTACACACCGAGGACACACCGGGGACACAACGGGGACACATGGTGATGTATAAAGGACATCACTTTGTGAGTCTCCTGACACACCGGGGACACATGGTGATGTAGAGAAGACATCACTTTGAGAGTCTCCTGACACACCGGGGACACATGGTGATGTAGAGAAGACATCACTTTGAGAGTCTCCTGACACACCGGGGACACATGGTGATGTAGAGAAGACATCACTTTGTGAGTCTCCTGACACACATGGTGATGTAGAGAAGACATCACTTTGAGAGTCTCCTGACACACATGGTGATGTAGAGAAGACATCACTTTGAGAGTCTCCTGACACACATGGTGATGTAGAGAAGACATCACTTTGAGAGTCTCCTGACACACCGGGGACACATGGTGATGTAGAGAAGACATCACTATGTGAGTCTCCTGACACACCGGGGACACATGGTGATGTAGAGAAGACATCACTTTGTGAGTCTCCTGACACACCGGGGACACATGGTGATGTAGAGAAGACATCACTTTGTGAGTCTCCTGACACACCGGGGACACATGGTGATGTAGAGAAGACATCACTTTGAGAGTCTCCTGACACACATGGTGATGTAGAGAAGACATCACTTTGTGAGTCTCCTGACACACCGGGGACACATGGTGATGTAGAGAAGACATCACTTTGTGAGTCTCCTGACACACATGGTGATGTAGAGAAGACATCACTTTGAGAGTCTCCTGACACACATGGTGATGTAGAGAAGACATCACTTTGAGAGTCTCCTGACACACATGGTGATGTAGAGAAGACATCACTTTGAGAGTCTCCTGACACACCGGGGACACATGGTGATGTAGAGAAGACATCACTATGTGAGTCTCCTGACACACCGGGGACACATGGTGATGTAGAGAAGACATCACTATGTGAGTCTCCTGACACACCGGGGACACATGGTGATGTAGAGAAGACATCACTTTGAGAGTCTCCTGACACACATGGTGATGTAGAGAAGACATCACTTTGTGAGTCTCCTGACACACCGGGGACACATGGTGATGTAGAGAAGACATCACTTTGAGAGTCTCCTGACACACATGGTGATGTAGAGAAGACATCACTTTGTGAGTCTCCTGACACACCGGGGACACATGGTGATGTAGAGAAGACATCACTTAGTGAGTCTCCTGACACACCGGGGACACATGGTGATGTAGAGAAGACATCACTTTGAGAGTCTCCTGACACACCGGGGACACATGGTGATGTAGAGAAGACATCACTTAGTGAGTCTCCTGACACACCGGGGACACATGGTGATGTAGAGAAGACATCACTTAGTGAGTCTCCTGACACACCGGGGACACATGGTGATGTAGAGAAGACATCACTTAGTGAGTCTCCTGACACACCGGGGACACATGTTGATGTAGAGAAGACATCACTTTGAGAGTCTCCTGACACACCGGGGACACATGGTGATGTAGAGAAGACATCACTTTGTGAGTCTCCTGACACACCGGGGACACATGGTGATGTAGAGAAGACATCACTTTGTGAGTCTCCTGACACACCGGGGACACATGGTGATGTAGAGAAGACATCACTTTGAGAGTCTCCTGACACACCGGGGACACATGGTGATGTAGAGAAGACATCACTTAGTGAGTCTCCTGACACACCGGGGACACATGGTGATGTAGAGAAGACATCACTATGTGAGTCTCCTGACACACCGGGGACACATGGTGATGTAGAGAAGACCTCACTATGTGAGTCTCCTGACACACCGGGGACACATGGTGATATAGAGGAGACATCAGAGAGTGCACTCTGCATGATAGGACACCTTTAAAGTCTGTTATCCATGGAGGATCTTTACTCCCTGCGGCTCAGGAAGAAAGCCATCAGGGTTATAAAGACAGAAATGATTTATCTATCTAAATAGTTATCAGCGTAATAAACCGTATTTCATTTCATATTCTGTTGACGTGATCTCTCTTTCCTGTTTTATATTGAAGGTCATATTTTGGAGTTTTGATCAACCTGAAGATGATGAAAGGTCTTCCTGATCAGTTATTGACCCCCACCCTCCTCACTGAGTAGAGGTCAGCCCCCCCCCACATTATTGTGGAAGCATTCAGGAAATAGATTGGCCCGGTTCAGCACAAAGGAGGACATTATGTCTCCATCAGATCTCATTCTGACATTCACACAGTTAACCCTGTGTGTGTGGTGTGTGTGTGTGTGTGTGTGTGTGGTGTGTGTGTGTGTGTGTGTGTGTGTGTGTGGTGTGTGTGTGTGTGTGTGAGTGTGTGTGTGTGTGTGTGTGTGTGTGTGTGTGTGTGTGTGTGTGTGTAGCTCAGATATGATGATTCTCTGTGAGCAGCTAATGCAGCCCACAGAGAATCACTGGGAGGATTGAGAGGAAGAGGAAGAAGATGTCCTCCTCTTCTTCATCCTCATCCTCCTCCTCCTCATAATGGCCTCCCTCTATCAGCGCTGGTTTATCAGTTATTGTTCCTGCAGAGTTCACTTCTGAACAATAGCTTTCCATCTGCATTCAGACACTGCTCTACATTCAGCAGATTCATTATCACACACACACACACACACACACACACACACACACACACACACACACACACACACACACACACACACACACACACACACACACACACACACACACACCACACACACACACACACACACACACACACACACACACACACACACACACACACACACACACACACACACACACACACACACACACACACACACACTTTTCTAAAAGAGACGAAGTGGAGATTTTTGTTATTTCTGCAGTTCTTCATGAAATAATTGACGGATTATTCAGAGCTGGCGTCTGGAATAATAATACATATGATTTATCATCTGGAGCCACAGATTAGGAAACTCACTTTCAGTATTAAGATATTCATTGGGAACAAAAATAAATATATATATTTATATAAAACAATGTCAGGCTGCATTATCTTTACTATCATTTTGGCTATTTTTCAATGAACTCATTGTTTAAGCTATCAGTAAATATCGTATTAGTTTTTATAATTGATGTATTAAACAGTGTTTTTTAACCAAAAGGCGAAATCAAAAATAAATCATATATATGTATTTTTGGAGGCTGGGTCAGAGAACGTATTGTAGATTTGATATTATACATTAAAGACTGAAGTAATAAACACATTACTCTGTTCACATCCAGGGATTCAATGAGCCCAATGTGAAGAAAGGTTTATAAAAGTATAATGCTCTTTGTTCAGTTCAGAGGCCTGTACGACGAAGCCGGATGTTCTCTTAGCTAACTTCAGGGACAACTCTGGCTTTCCGGTCCTACGACGCTGGTTCTCTTTTTAGCGGGCTAGATCTCCATGGTAACTGATGCTCAGCGGCTAGCCTGCTCCGGAGCAGGTTAGGTTGCAGGCTAAGAGATCAACTCAGTGAAAGCACCGCCTGCTGACCAATCAGAGCTCAGTGTGAGGAGTTTAAAGCGATCAAGTCATATTACAGGAGAAAGGAAATACAGAAAGACGGCCGGCAAAAATCAACTGACTGTGTGAACGTGAACATGAATAGAATATAGGGCTGCTCAATTAATCGTATTTTAATTGCAATTATTTTGGCTTGCAACATAATCGAAATAAAACGATTTTTTTGTTTTATTATTGTTTTTTCAGTTGAATAAAGTTCAGGGTAATCAACTGTTAAAAACATACTGTTCACATTTTTTTTCCAATAAATTGATGTTTTCAAAGTAAATGGATAATCCTTTTTAATAATCGTGATATCAATTATTGACCCAAATAATCGAGATTATGATTTTTGCCATAATCGAGCAGCCCTAATAGAATATCCCCTCCCATCTTCAGAGCAATCTGACTATTATAACATTAGCGTTAAGAAAGCTTACTTAAATATCTGCCACAAACATAAGTAACCGGATCAGAGTAACATTACGTACAGTCCGCGGCACTGTGAGTGCAGACGTAGATGTGTCCCATTATCATTCATATCATATCACATCATAATGTATCATATATCTCCTTATCTGAGTCAGCTGAGCCGTATCTGGCCGTGCAACACTCACAGTGTCACATACTGGATGCAGAAGTATTATTTTAAGCAACACATTAAGTTGACGAAACACTCGAGTCAAATGTAATGAAAGTCAGATCGTGTCTTAGACGGGGCAGTGATATCATAAACCTGTTAATGTACACATTCAAACACTTTCTCTGTTACCAGCTGTATTCACCTTGCAGGTGCAGCTATGTGGCTTTGATCCTGGATAAAGTGTTTAAGTCATGGATGTTTAAAGTTTAACTTCTTCATATTTGACTAATATTAAAGTTTACTTTTCATTCAGGAAGTATGACGCTGCGCTGTCAGTACGCTTGTCCATGTTTGTGATTGGTCGAATGCTCCAGATACCACCCCTTTCATGTGAACGCGCACCTAACTAGATAGGACACGGCTGGCTTGAGCGATCCACTTGATAACCCGCGTCGTAGGACCGCTTAGCGAGAGCGCGTATGTGTTGGATTGGACCAACCGGCTAACTCAAACATATCCAGGTTAGGTTGAACCGGCTTCGTCGTACAGGCCTCTGGTTAACGCTTCAAACATTTTAAACATTGATTTCTTGAAGTGTAGACATGTGTATCTTTCCTCTGTTGGACAGGCGTCTCTTTTCTGCTTCCTCTCATGAGGTTCACTTACAGACTGATATAACTCAGACCTGGACCTGAAGCAGGACTTGTGGATATCATAAACCTGTTAATGTACCATCCAAACACTCTGTAGTTGTTGTTGTTGTTGTTTGTACCAGCTGTTCTTCCTGCACCTTGCAGCTGGGTGGCTTTTATCCTGGGAAAGTGTTGAAGTCATGATGTGACAGAGTGGCTGTGGTTTGGACCAAACAGATCCAGGGTCAGTTGGACTGGAGTCCCACTGTTTCAGGATCTGTATTTAGTCAATTGTGTAACTTTTGTATTATTATAATGTTTTCATCTTTAATACTTTCTGCTTCTCCGTAACATTAAGCTGTCGTTGGCTCTTTTCTGCTGTAACAATGTAAATATCCCCTCTGTGGGACGAGTGAAGGTATTCTGATTCTCCATGCTGCTGTGAACGTGAAGCATGTCAAGGAAGTTGAGTATCTGAAGTGTAATTTTTGTGTACTTTCGGGTTAATAATGTGGCCTTTTTGGCAGTTTAACTAAAGGTGTGCGGCTGCTGCTGTGAGGAAATATCTGCCTGAAATTACAATGGGCTTTAATGGAGACATGTTGAACGTTTTTGTCACTTCATGCCCTCAAGAGGCATTTTGTTTAATTATTTTTGCTTAATTATTTGTCATTTTTCAAGCTACGAGATGTTTTCCTACCTTTCTCATAAAAAATGATGTCTCAGGAATGTAGGGTTTGGGAATTATGGCAGTTTTTTTTTTAAATATGAAGGGACATTTCAAGATTTCCTACCCTCTAGCTGTGACATCACGCACTCTAACTTAACGAGCTGCGCAATGTTAAAGTTCAAATGTTAAAAATGTGATGTATTATGGGATGTATCTCTGGAATTATGAAAGTTATGAATGATAAAAGTAATAGCGCCCGATTCCCGACCGAGCTGAACGTTTTGATGTTTGAACGGAGTTTCTGCGATGTTGAATGTGGGAGAAGACGGACAAAATAATTGGACGGAATAATACACTTTTCGTCCGTAGCATAACATATAGTGGCATTCCCACTATATGTTATGCTTAGTCACCCAGTGGAAATGTCAGATATGTCTTCATAACTGTATCCTTACATTTTACATTCACTCAGTTATAATGTGGTAGTTATACGTAGTTTGTTTTAAATTATTATTGATCACATTATATAGTTCATATTTCTTAATTCAAGCTCCAATATGAATATGTTAGGTGTGTTTTTTAGGTATATTTGTTATTGACAAATAAACGCTTTTATTTTGAAGGCAGTTTTTACAGGCCTCTACCGTAATGCATAGGATATTCCCGCACCGCAATACAACGTGCGGGCTGGCTTGACTGTGTTTTCCGAAGTGGGGGCTGGCTTGACCACAGTCTGTTTACCCAGTGTTTCCTGACATGAAACGTTTTATTTCACTTTGCTATGCGTTTTTAACGTATATTAAAAAACGGGGACATTTCCGGGGACAGGCCAATACAAACGGGGACTGTCCCCGGAAAACGGGGACGTCTGGTCACCCTATACTGTTAGCTCCGTTAGCAGCTAGCTCTCCTCCACTACTGTACGCTCCGTTAGCAGCTAGCTCTCGGCTAACCGGCTCCCGGTAACAGGAACCAGCCTCCCGGGGAACCGGAGCCCCTTCCCGGTTGTTTGTACAAGTAAACTAGTAAACTAGTAAACAGTAAACTAGTAAACAGTAAACAGCTGGAGCCCCTCATGGAGCAGAGACTCACCTCCATCTGCGTCCTTTTACGTGATGACGTCATCTGTGACGCTATCCATTTCAATATATTTATTTTAATAAAATCTGAAAAAATACAACTTAATACAACGCTATTATCATCACGTAAATGCATTTAATTTTTAAAATAAACTGGAATTAAATGAACTCAACATTTGTACATAGATAGATACATATTAATATGTTATATTTATAACAAGTTGGGAAAATACAAAAATTGTAAAGAATTACAAAAGTACTTAAAGGTAGGGTAGGTAAGTTTGAAAACCGGCTCGAGAAGGCTGACAGGCATTGATTGATTGATTGATTGAAAAGTTTATTAACAGCTTGTATATTGGGTACAGTACAGTACAGCTCAAAACATACAATTGTTAAGGGGATGCAGACCAGAGAAAGACTTTCGTCTTGTTTACATCAGGGTCCCCCATTTCCAATTCATCATATCATTTAAGACATATAAGACATATTTGACATACAGATGGCTTATTTACAATTTACATACAGGTGGTTTTTTACATACAGATGGCTTATTTACAATTTTCATTTTAGATTTCGTTCTAATACATCCTAACCGGACATTTAAGACATACCAAGTCTACAGATATACAGTTAGTAACAGAGTCTAAAATGCGAGTATATACATAGATGGGGGGGGGGAAGCTGTCCATTGTACGACAGGTTGAGATTTGTACCATTACCGGGGCCAGTTTTGCAATGCTTTCCCCCGAAGGTGCTCTTTAAGAGAGGTTTTGAAGGTAAGTATAGTTTTACTTTCCTTTACAGTTGTGGGAAGAGCGTTCCACCTTGATGTGGCATAATTGCGAAACGTGTATTCCCCTTTTTTTGTGCCAAATCTGGGTTTTACATGATTTGTGGAGCTCCCTCTGGTGTTATGATCATGGTATTCCTTGACCTTTGGGAAGAATTTTGACATGTACATGGGTACCATAGAGGTGTAGTGGATCTTGTAGACCAGGCCCATTGCAAGTAGCTGTACTCTGTCGTCTACTCTAAGCCATCCTAGGTTGTCAAAGTGGGCAGAGGTGAGGTGGGTTCTAGATGAAAGGTCAAGCAGTAGTCTGACCAGTTTATTTTGCGATGTTTGAAGTTTTATTTTTAGCGCCTTGGAGGTGCTATGGTACCATGACGTGCAAGCATAGTCATAGTACCCTTGAATGAGTGCTCCTGCCAGAGTTTTCAGGGTGTTTTTGTTTACCAGAGAGGAGATCCGGTATAGGAATCTAGTTCTTTGATTGACTTTTTTATTACATTGGATGCCATTTTGTCACAGGAGAGGTTTGCCTCAAGAATAGATCCTAGGTATGTAATTTCCTTCTTACTTGTGACAATAATGTCACCCACTGCAACTGAGAAGTCGTCGGATTTGCTGAGATTATGTTTCGAACCGAAGAGAATGGACTCTGTTTTACCCAGGTGTAATGATAATTTATTATCGGCGAGCCAGGTGCAGATTCTGCCGAGCTCGGAGCTGAGGGTTTTTTCAACCTGCAATCTGCTCCTGTCAGAGACCAGCAGGGCTGAGTCGTCCGCGAACAGGAACAAGTTGCAGTCACATGCTGATGACATGTCATTTGCATAAATTAGGAACAGTAACGGACCTAATATGCTTCCTTGTGGAACACCACAGCTCACTGGGAGGGGGGGGGACAGAGTACCGTTTACCTCCACCATCTGTTCTCTCCCCTCCAGGTAGGATTGCATCCAGCTCACCGATAGTTTATCAAAACCAATTGCTTTTAGCTTGTCAATCAGAATGGGGTGATTGACAGTGTCGAAAGCCTTTTGTAGGTCCAGCATCACCATGCCGCAGTATTTACCCTCGTCCACCTCTTGTTTGATGTGGTCGTTCAAATAAAGAAGGCATGTGTCAGTGGAGTGGGATGTTCTAAAGCCAGATTGAAATTCATAGATTAGTTTCTTTTCTGCGAGGTACTTTTCGACCTGTTCATATACTATTTTTTCCATGACTTTCGAGATGGAGGTAAGTATAGAAACAGGGCGGTAGTTGCCTGGGTCCAATTTGCTGCCCTTTTTGTGCAGGGGGGTTACTCTTGCAATTTTGAAGTCTTTGGGTACTTTTCCCTGTTTTATGGAGAGGTTAATTATGTGAGCTATGACTGGTGAGATGGCGGTTGCTGTGTCTCTGAGGAATTTGGAGGGGATATTGTCGTGGCCAGTGGCCTTGTTAGGTTTGAGGGGCGCTCAGTTTAATGAGTACCTCTGCTGTTGTTACCCTTGCTAGACTGAAATCATCTTTGCGTACCCCTAGGTTTTTGTAGTAGGTCATGATGTGATCTACTCCAAAAAGCCCTGAGTGGGAGGGTAATTTATTTACAAGAGTTGTGGCTATGTTTGTGAAAAAAATGTTCAAGTACTTGGCCACATCCAGTTTGTCTGTGATGAGCCTGTTATCTGTCTTTATGTTTACGTTTGAAAATCTCGTTTTGAGTTTTTTACTGCAGCCAAGCTGGTTATTGAGTAATTTCCAAAGTTCACGGGGTTTATTTTTGTTTTCCTCAGTTTTGTCATTGATGAAATTCTTTTTGGCAGTTTTGATCATGGAGCTTACGTCATTTCTTAGTCTGTTTCTTTCAATTTTTAGTTCAGTCACGTGGGCCTGGAGTTCACTGCTCGTGCTTTTGGAAAGCATTGACTGACTTTTATGAAACTCAGAGCATTTTTTGTCTCTGGTTTTCATGGCGGTCAGTATGCCGGAGTGCATCCACGGCTCAGCGCGATTTTTTACCCTGGTTGTTCTTAGGGGGGGCCAAATCATTGAGTATTGCAGAGAATTTGTTTTTGAAACCAAGCCATGTTTCTTCAACTTGTGTACCACTGAGCTCATCTGACCAGTCCAGGCTCTCCAGTTCTAGGTTAAAGGCCTCGCTAGAGTAGTTTTTGAGGTCTCTAGATATGACTGTTTTGTGACAGCCGGCCTTTTGTTTTAGCTTTTTGCGGGTACAGAATATCATATAATGATCACTTAAACCGCATGCTATAACCCCTTTACTGGAGATCCTGGACCTGTCAGAGGTCAGAATGAGATCAATGGTAGTTTGTGTTGTTTCACATACCCGGGTGGGTTGGGTGATTAGCTGGCTGAAGCCGTGCAGATCACAAATCCTACTGAAGGACTTGAAGACGGACGTGTCTTTACGTTGCATATCCGTGTTCCAGTCTCCAATAATAATTGTCTCTACATCCCCCACATCAGCCAAACACCCATCTAATGTATCATAAAAGTCACTCTGTTTCCGGTGGTCTATAGATTGTCCCGACTATTACAGATTTAGCATTGTCAAAAAGAATTTCAACCCACACAGATTCAATATTTTCATGATGCAGGTCAGTACGGTTTTTGAAATTGGTGTCTTTATGTATGTACATGCAGACACCACCTCCATTCACGTTCCTGTCCCTTCTCACTACAAGATAATCTTCAATTTCAATCTCTGAATCTGTAATGGAATTGTCCAATTTGGTCTCAGAAAAGCATAATATGCTTGCCTTACCGTTCATGAACAGTTGCCTGAGTTCAGCCAGTTTGTGTCTCAGGCTGTTAGTGTTCAGATGAAAAATATGTAGTCCATTTTTGTTGTTTAAATGCATAATGTCGTCAGCTTGAAGATATTTGTCTTTGTCCGTTACAGCAAACGGCTTGCGGCCTGCCGTGGTGCTTGGAGCGGTGGGGTGGTGGGGGGAGGGAGGCTCCGTTGTAGCTTTAGCCGTCGATATGCTAGCAGGGTGGCTAACAACATGGTGGATATTTGTTCCCTCGGCAGGTAGGCCATCCAGTTATTTTAGCCGGGCCGGCTAAAATGATTGGTTGTACTTTTTACAGTACTACGGCTTCCACAGATGACATTGTTTTATGGATTTGTTGTCAAAGCACTTCAGATATTCATTGCTATCGGGATGTTAAGAGCATTCCATGGAATATAACAAAAAGTGTATCTCGAGCCGGTTTCTCAAACGTACCTACCTTTAAATATGAAACAACATTTAAAATGAACATTTAACATTTTAAATTATATACTATTATACATATTCTGAGTAATACGGTCATATATTCAGAGGTCTAAACTCTATATAAAATATACAGAATATAAATATAAAGGTCATATGAGTACTTTTATTAACAATACTTCAAGTTAATACTTTTGTAGTTTTACTCAAGTATTTAAAGACTTCCTGTCATAAAGTATCACTGTGTAGTATTACTACTCTGACTGCAGTATCTGCATACTTCATTAAACACGTTAAAATCAGAAGTGGTATTTCTGTTTGTTTACACAACAAACAACAGAAATACCACTTTTTTTCGAGCGTGTAAAACCAAAGAAAATACAAATGAAACAAAAGGTGATACAGACATGATACATACTATACAAATGAATGCAATAACAAAACGAAACATTTAATTAATAATTGAATAATCTGTGGTATCATTGTCTGATATCAATAAACAACAAAGCTTTAGCTAATTACACGTCCGAAAAGGGGTCTTAATATATGTTAACATACAATATAAACGTATACTTATAATCTTGAATAATTTATATAATCATTCATATAATACATACAGGCAAGTTAGGAGAATGGTCTCTATATATTTATATATATACATATGTACATACACAAATTCATACAAACACAAATTCATAAATAGAATACAGAACAAGAATATAAACAGTTATGGTTTAGCAGTTTCATCTCTGTACCCTGTACCTTGAGAGAATTGTGTCTTTATACCTCTTTTTGAATAGTTTGATGTTTGGACATCCCTTTAGCTCCTCACTCACATTGTTCCAGATCTTCACCCCACAAACAGAAACACTAAAACGTCTCTTTGTTGTGCGCACCCTGACATTAGTGAATATAAATGAACCCCGTAAATAATAATTCCCTTGTCTTTCATTGAACAATATCTGAATATTCCCAGGTCATTGAACGTTTTTTGCCTTAAACATGATTTGTGCGAT